GAGTGAACAATGGGCTGCAGCAGCAAAGAAAGCCAATAGGATGCTGGGCTGCATCAACAAGGGCATCACCAGCAGAGATGAAGAAGTCATCATCCCACTCTGCTCAGTGCTGGTCAGACCACACCTGGAGTATTGTTTTCAGTTTTGGTTTCCACTCTATAAAAAGGATGCAGACCGGCTGGATAGGGTTCAGAGAAGGGCCACAAGGAGGATAAGAGGACTGGGGAGCCTGCCATATAAGGAAGGGCTTAGAGAACTGGGTTTGTTCAGCCTGGAGAAGAGAAAGCTTTAGGGAGACCTCATCACCATGTTTAAGGGTGACTACAAGGTGTCACATGGAAAAGATGAGGGGTAATGGGTACAAGTTACTCCTGGGGAGATCCTAATTGGATATTAGAAGAAAATTTTCCACTGTGAGAACAATCAGAATAATCTCCCCAGGGAACTGGTGGTGCTTCAACACTTGATATTTTTAAGATTCAGCTTGACAAGGTGCTGGGCCATCTCATCTAAACCATGTCCCTGCCTGGAAAGGTTGGAACAGATAAGCCTTGAGGTATCTACCAACTTGGCATTCTATGATTCTGAATTGGGAAAAAAAAAACCACAAACCACCCCCCCACCCACTCCCCCACACACACTTACAGCATTGTAAGTCATGGGGTCATGGGTAGGTTCCTGCTGTAAAAGCACTCTTGAACTTGTCCATAAAAGACCTGTCAACAATTTTGCCAAAAAACACCTAGAATATTTTTATGGTAATGCTGCTTTTCTCCTTTTAAACTGTAGAGAACAGGTTATCAGTTAAATCTCATAGGAAATCAAAAGGTCAACACCCCTACAGATCTTTCAGTGGCAGGGTGCACCTTTACAACACATTTGTGATGACACGTTCTGCTGAAGGGGCAGTAGAAGACTGCTGTGCCATGGAGTATTGAATAACCGTAGAACACAAAGCATCAGCTCTTGCAAGACTACCTCATAAATCTGCTATTGAAAATAATATCTGAAGAATGAATACTGTAATTATTCCTCACAGCAGCACAGAGGATTTTAAAGAAAAGTAAAACTATTTCTTATAGGAGTCTCTAGAAAGCAATTGACAGCAATTAAACTGTATTCCTTGAAAACAAGTAAAAAGTTTTCCAAGCTTATATTAAGAATCTGGTCCTGAGGAAAACACAAACTTTATAAATAACAATTGTGATGTTTATTGCTGTGTTTAAAAAAATCTGCACACGGTACATTCTTTACCACTTTTAAGAGGTTCTTTGCACAAATGAATACTAGGCAGGTTGTTTGAATGATGTTTCCATTATAAAGCACAGATCCGTTTGGAAAACGATATGCAAGAAAAGCTTGAAATGGATGAATGTGAAGTAAATTTTCATCCTCCCTCTAAGACCAGCCCATTTACATGAGTGATTGTGAATCAGTCATCATATTTCAGCATCTCTCCTGCATTTTAAGGCAGGATCAACATGTTGGCTGTTGACAGCTGTAAACATCTACATTTTTACTCTGGTTTGAATCTTTCACTGTCTCTCTCCCCCTTCTCAACCAAGTTCTGCAGTCCCTGTGCTTGCTGGCTTCTCATGATCGCAGGGTGAAGGACAGTTTCTTCCGTCAGAGATTATTTCTTCCCACGACATGAGTCAGCAAGCAGGGGAGCTGACGGCATTGCCGGGATGAACCATGCAGAGATGTGCCTCTGCAGTGACACAGCCTTTGCTCAGACGGGAGTCAGCAAAGCTTTTTTTACATCACCGCTACACACCAGGTGGCAACATACCATGCTGCGCTGCTTGTGAGCTGGACTTAAAGAAACACACACTTAAAATATGCAGCAATCTGTAGAATTCAGTCAATACAGAAAGGAAAAATCAGCTGTAGGTGATGAATCCTCATTTGTTAATATTCTGTCCACTGCTTATCCTCCTGACCCCCTGGCTCCTTTATGCAGCTTTAAAGGTTTTGCTATTTTAAAGAGCTCTGAAAACTCTCCCATAGTTTCAAGATGTCCCACAAGAGATGTTGTGATGTTCCTCTATAGCATAGCTCTCTAGAGATGCCCCACGACTCATGTGCTAGGATGAAATACAGTAGTCTGAAGCCTGAGCTTGCATTGCTTAAGATGTGTAGAAATGCCAGGACGTCTAAAAGCCACACA